AAAAATTTCCTTCCGTGCATGACAGTCTCTCTTGTGCTATTACTCTTGCTGTTGGCCCTTAAGAAACATTACGAAACACATGAGTAGCCCCATTTATTTTTTCTTGCAAGTCAAGACATTTTATATTGCTATTTATATTGATGTTTCTGTTGCTCGCAAACAAGCTGGGCTTTGGCTGGACACCCCAGCTCCACGTGCTCAGTCCCTGGTTTTCATGTCAAGAAGAACTGCATAGTGATTGTTCCAGCAGTTTTCTTACAATCTTTTCTCAAAGCAACTGTAAAGGTAAGGTTATTTAAATCATGAGGAAAAAAAAGAAACCTGAAGTCTGTAACTGTGGAAATGGCACAAGGAGAGGGGGAAGAAGAACCCTGGTTTCTGAGAGACAAGGGCATTCACTGAAAGAGCGGTGTTGGAGTGCTGGAGATGGCAGAATTTGGTCCCTGCCGGCTTCAGAAAAGACATTAATGAAAGACTTTAAGCTGAAAATTGATGAATGCCAGAAGACCTTGCTGGGAGACACTACAAACGCGAGTTCCTGAATACTGAGCGAGTAACATGACAAGTAGTTCTGCTTTTATCCTTAAAGCATCATCTTGCTTATTCTGAGCAGAATCAGCTGGCAGTGAATGAAAGGAAAAGAGGATACGAGATATCCCCAGAGAGTCCAGGCCTCATTAGGTCAACCGCTCCCAGAATAAGCTGCCAGATTTCTGAAGAGTATTCCTTCAGTAGTCCCTTACTCCTGAAATATGTCCCTTTATACTTACTAGGTGGTTATTTATCGTGTTCAAGGAAGTTTGCAATTTCACACAAAATGAGAGATTTTATTTCCCGTTCCTTATTAAAGTTAGAAATTCAAGAGCTTTATTCCTCATGCTCCAGTTCTCTGCCCACCCTTATACAGAGATATTACTTCCCTTTAATTTTGGAACTGCTTTATTTAAAATCTGGGTATGAATTTGTGAAATGAGCGTGCTGGCAAAGTAGCACCCATCTCCTCTGACTGCCAATACAATCTGCCAATAGTTAGAGCCCATGAGGCCTTCAAGTCACTTTAACTTCCCATTTAAAACTGCGTGCCAGTCTTCTGTGTTACGAGAAGCTCTAGCTCAAACCATGGAAATAATATTTCATTGAAAATTAGCATGATTTGTTCTTGGAAAGCACCCTCTTAAAGCCAAAGAGAAGTCTAAAAGGACTAACATTCAGACTTTACTTTCATCTTCCCGAGGTGTGCCAATAATCGTATTTTAACTGTCCAAGTAGCAACGCCCCAAAATTGTTTTTCAAACCTTTGTAAAGATGATCTAACAAAGGCAATTGACCCCTCAGAGTACAATTTTGACATCCCAGAAATAGTAATTTTACTGATTAATTTACTGTAATTTAAAACACAAATTGGAATCCGGACAGACTACCATACCAGCCCTAATTGAAATATTTGGCCCATATTAGAAATTCTAAAAACAAAGATAAAATTCTAGTTTCCTGACATGATAGGTTAGTGTATAACCTCATGTATGCTGAGCATCTAGTATTCCAATTATTATTCAATTTTCCTGGAGAAACTGAAGAGTGTTGACACTGAACACTGTAGTTTATATTGGTAGCTTAGTTATATTTTAGCAAGTCTTAAACATCATCTTTAGAAAGACACAAACTACTGCTGAATCAATGAAGCTTTCAGTATAAACTTTGATATCTACTGGTTACAAGAAGTTTTTTTATATAGGAATAAGAACAGTTTTATCAACTGAGACCCATGATCAACAAGCATACAGTACTAGAGGATCAAATGAGCACGTCGGAGGAAAGCTAACTCCCTGTCTTTTCTGACTGCTATCAGCCTATTACCAACATGAAAAACCTTTAGACCACTAGACCAGACTTTATGAAGCACCAGAAGCTATAATTAATAACAGCAAGGCTGACAACATTACTATTCCATAGTAAGATTTCATGAGGTAGATCTCAATTAGACTGAAAATAAATCATTACAACTGCCAGTAGCTTGGCAACATCACCAGTTTTTAGAAACTGCAGGATCTGATGTGGAACACCACAGTGTTGGCTATTCCCAATAAACCACTAACCACTGGGCTAGACTCATTCTGCAGCTGACATAGTAAGAGCCTGTTAAAACAGAAATTACCCAGCCATTTTGTCACAGAAAATGGAACAGCCCAGAAAAATCGAGTCAGAGCCAAGTATCCTTGCTACTCACTGTTCTGCAGAAGATCTCGTTTGGACCTTGAAGAAATTCCTAATTACCTGACACAGTTATACAATATTGAAATAATGCTGTTTACTAAACCCATGTTATAAGCTTTCAGCAGTATGTGAAAATGCAAGAGAAACAGTGCTGGATACTCAGCTTGTGAAAGACTAAAGATCAGTTAGTCACCAGTGAAAGGCTCTTATATGCAGCCACAGGAGCAGATCAGTTGGTTCCTTGATGCAGAGACCAGAACATAAGCACTGAATGTCAACATTTTGCTTTTTTTTTTCATTTTTTTTTAAACTCATTTCCAAAGCTAACAAATTTGAACTCAGTATAAGATATAAAAATGACACTAGGCACTTAAGGCTCATAGAAGTACATCACTTTTGGAAAGTTATCTGAAGTTTTCTTAATAGTTTCATTTCCAACTTTTTGCTAGCTTAAAGCCTCCTCCTCCCCCCCAGTCTTCATTGATTCTTCTGTAGGATGGCTAAAACACTGCTTGAATCATCTTAATCAACAAAATTCCTGTAAAACTGACAATTGCTTGGTTACATGCTTTTACTTTATTGACTTTTCAAGCCTGGAATGTCTACACTTGATATATGATGCCTGATGAAGGTGACCAGTGACTGCACGTAGGAAGTGTCCAAAGAATTCTTAAGTTGTTTCCTTCTTCAGAAAGCTCGGAACTGGGATAAATTGCCATCTGCTGCTTGTGGTGGTTGCTGGCAATATCATACTGTGGTCAAGACTCCATCCTCCTCCTACTGATTCAACACGCAACATTTAAGATACCCTGCCCAGTCAGTCTTAACTGGACACAAAGTCCATCATTATTAGTCAAACTAAGAAGAATATTATTGTTTATGATCTCCTGAAGCTGAATCATGAAAAAAAAAACAGCAATGTATGACTCTATACACATAAATAAAAACCTTCTGATCCTCTATCTCACCACACCACTTTCCAATGGAAACACAAACATTCAATATAGGTCTCTTTCCCTTGGATTCTAGAAACTGTACTGCAATTTTAAAGTAACGTTTACAGGTGGTATCTAAAAATAGTGTATTTTGAGTGATCCTTAAAAGCCTTGAAAAGCCCCAGCTTAAAGAATCTTTTAAATCAAACAGACACATAGATGAGTTTCATTTGAGCAACCAGTGCTGTTGCATTAATAATGAAATAAAATGCACTGCATGCTCAAACACTTTGCAGCTGCTACAACAGCACTATTACCTGATGCAGATGTATTTACAAAATGCCACATTTTGTAGCACAAGCATTTAAAATCAAAATACGTCTTTTTCTTGCTTAATCATTTAACTGGTAACCTAATGACAGTAGACATTAAAGACGTTGGGACGTGATCATGGATATCTAATCATGTTAATATAAATCTTGTCAGTAGCATTTGATTTGGGCTTTATGTCAAGTGCAAGGGAAGCCCCTCTGCTCTAACTGTGCACTGCTGTTCTTTCTTCTCAAATCTTGCCATGTGACACAGTTAAGGGTCCCTTGCAAAAGCAACTTCTCCCTCCCCACAACCAACACTAGACCTCTAGACTTTAAAAAGTTAACACTTAGAAACCACAGCAATATTTTTAGCCCATACAACTGAACAATGTTGTTCTAATCACGAGAATAAAACACTTAATTTGGCTGGATGCAAAAAGCCTGTACTTTTACAAAATTTCAAAAAATAATAATTTTAATATTTGTATTACCACCCTTAAACATGCTTTGACCTCCTACCATATGTGTAAGGACATCCTTTCCTACTAGCTCACTGAAGACTCGTGCTGTCATAACAAACTTGCTTTGTTATTCCAAAACTGCTTTCCAATTAATTCCAGAAAAAAAGATACTTAAATTGGGGAAGGTTTTTTCCCCATCCACAGATGCATATATTTTTGTACTTATTTTTGGTTATGCAAAATAAATATAAAATATATAGAAAATTAATAAACAAAATAAAAACTGAACTAGAAACATGCCCACAATTATAATTTACGAATACACATTTTTCATAGTTGTAACACAGCACTACTTGCAAATTAACGGACAAATGGGAGTCCCCACTGTGTTCTGTGGACTATGCAGCAGATATGAATATACTAACGAAGTCACCTAATTGGTGAGAGGACATTTGTCTCAGAAGAAACTGTTGTATCTAATACTTAAATTATCCCCTCCATTTCTGTTAATATTAACTCTACAAGCAGTGTACATCGGTGAACATGAAATTTTAAATGTACCTATGTTGCTAAAACTGCTCGTTACGCTTTAATATAGCTGCTGAAAAAAGCAGCTTAAGCTGGTTTGTCTGTCACATTTTGTTGAATGCTTTCAAGTTACCTAGATTGAAGTTAGTAATTCAATTTTATAATTATACACCTGTTCAAACTGATTCATTTAAGAAAGACAGAATTAAATAATCACACGGTGCTCAATAAAGCTGCAAATTTTCTATGTAAGAATATTAATGGCACATGTTGAAAACCTGAATCATCTGAGCTTAAATCTTAACAAATCCTAACTCACTTCCCTGCTCCACCAAACACATTCCTCATGAAATGGTCAACCAATGTCTGTATGCAAGCAGAAGTACAAACATTAAGTACACCATTCATGTGGTTATCGAGGTATCTATTCATGTGTGCGCATGCGTATATACATTATTTCCTCTGAAACTAAAAAATTCATTTTTTCAAGTCCTCACACAGTCTAACACTATGTGTAATTTTTAAGAAACTGGGAAAAATATTCTTACCTTTTCAACTGCTACTTGTTTTGATGTTTTTTCTGATTCTTTCTCTCTCTTTTTCTCTTCTTTCTTCTTTTCTTTTTCCTTCTGAAAAATGAATAAAAGCATTTTGCTAGTACTCAGTAACAATACATTCGCAAACATACTGAATACAGAAAAATCTTCAGCTAGTCCCTTTCAAATACAGAGGCTATGCTTTTATCTGTTCTGCTTCTAGAAGTATCTTTTGTTCAAATAGTACTACCAAAAAATCCGTGGGATTTGTGTGTGTTTTTTTTTTTTTTTTTTTACTTTCCTTGCATCATCCATAATTTCATAAATCAGAATCTGCCTTGAATTTCTGCTTCAGAAATATGGAAAAAATTATCAAAAGGTACAAGTAAGCAGATTTTTACAAATCTTGCAATCTTGGTTCAAAACAGCAGGACACCGTCACTTCTAATGGTGGTGGCAGCAGTCGCCGTGTGCTGACCACCCAGCTCTGGGGCTGTGGGGAGGGCCTGGTGCTGCTCCCTGAGATGGAGGCTGAGGGCACACAGGAGGTGTGCTTGGGCAGATGGATTGCCCTGCCTGGTGGCCAAGCTTCAGGAAGAGCTGGGGAGACTGGGAAGCATATGAGAGTCTGAAAAGGTGATAGATGAATGGAGCCATGCTCTGCTTTCTCAGGTATGCACGTGCCAACCTGGCATCTGATCTGCATCAGGAGCAAGGCAGCACCTTGAGGGACATGAAAGAGTGGAAGCAAGTTACCACATGGAGCTGGAAGAGGAGCTGTCTGCCTGCTCGGTTTCCACTACCGAAGAGGTGCAAGGCTCTGGGAGAGGCAGATGAGGAATGTGCAAAGAGGGAAGAAGAGACATCCACGCAAACTCTCCCTCCACAGTCAGATCAGCCAAGGCCTCACAGCAAGTGCAGCACCAAGACCGGCACCGTGAAGAAATGACAGAGGGTTGTAGCTGTAGACGACTCCATCCTCAAGGGACTGGAGGCTCCCATCTGCAGGCTGGACCCTCTTCACAGAGCAGTTTGCTGCCTCCCCAGGGCTCAGATCAAGGATGTTACCAGGAAACTTTCAAGTGCAATGCAGCCTTCAAACTATTGCATTCACTGCAGTGAATCTGGTTGGCATTCACCAGTGGTGTTCCCTATAAAACAGCTCTGATACCAGGACTTTCGTTTTAAGGAACTCCAAGAACACTCTTTCTTCACAGCTTCAAGTAATGCTTTCAAAAGCTTCGCTGTATTTACCAGATGGATTGAGGTTATTCAACAGAGGTTTCTCAAGACCCAAGTAACCCCTGTGTATTATTTAATCTTGTATTAACTTAATCTCTGACCCTGAAAAGTGAGACTACCACATAAACCAACTTGAAGCACAGGCAGCTGTCAGTCAAGCAACATGAACTATTAGGAACACAAAATGCAGCCCAAACCAGGGGACCAGCCAACACTGCACCTCACCTGTGGCAGTGTCAGGTATAGAAGAAAAAGCTTACCAGGACAAGTATTGAGACAAGGGTTTTATGTTGAAGCCATCATAATAACCCGAGATTTGCAGGTTTATTGAAGTAAGACTGCAAATGCACAGCCAGGCCTTTCAAACGAAGCTTAATCTTCCCTTCATTACTGCATTACTGATTCCAGCACCAACTTGCATTCTAAACACTCCCCAAATCCTGTGACTGCAATAATGTATAGGGCACAAATACACTGTTGGAGTAATAGAGATTTCTTTTTCCAAAAGTCTTTTATCCCTTTCCTCGCTGCTTTCTCAAGTTGAATAATTTAAGTACACTTAATCTCCTCCCTTATGGAAGCTCTTTTATGTCTTAGATGCTATTTGTTCTTCTTCTCTTAGAAAAGGTTGTTGGAAGTACCATAGCAGTACTTACTTTTCAAATAGAGTACAATAAGTTTACTACAATATGTCAAGTGAAAGAAGAGTATTTTTTTTATATATGATCTTCTTCAAGATGTCCTGATTTCCAGTTTGACTTTAACATTTTTTAAAATATATTTTGTTAGAGAAATTTCACTTTCAGAGGGAGAAGTATCAGAAAATTTTAATTTTTCAGACTTCAGGAAAGAAGAGAGCTTGCATTATGCTTCATGTAGCAAACACTCCATAAAGGTGACCAAATATAAATAAGAAATGCCTCTCATGGCCTTTATAAAACTCCTGCGTTCTTCATAGTGAAGATGTGAAGACAAACTGTACACCCGTGTTTCCACCTCCACACCTCACAAAGCCCACAGGACTTCTCTCAATTCCCAGAGACTTTATTTTTGCTAAACACATTTTCACTGAGGACTTAAAAACCCATAACTTCATCTTCACACTTCACAAGTCCAATATGCAAGCTTTCTGCTTCAGCTCCGTTAGATAAAAATGAATTCAGACTAAATAAAAGCATTTCTCAGAGGCTGTATTCATGCCAGAACTTCAACTCAAGTGTTTCATTACTTGCAAAATTAGTCAAAAGACACTATCAAGATCATAATGTGAAATTGTCTTTATACTGGTCCTAAATTCTAAGCAAAAATCATTCATTTTTCCCCCCAGATTCATTTCCAACAACACGGTATACGAGTGACATAGCGGAACTTTTAAATTGGAATACAAGAGAGGAGGTTAGGAAATGAAAGGTGAGTTTAGTTACAGAATGGCAGCTGAGATTCCTGCTACAACGTTAAAAGCATGTCACATTCCCCAAGGCTTGTGGTCTTGTCCATGACACTAACTTAAATTTTAATGAATGTCAAATATAGCTGAACTAAAATAATTTATAACATCTGGTCACATTTTCTTTATCTAGAAGAAAAAAGCATGATATACATTTAGATCATAACTTTTTTCATATACTGTATACAGTCTCAATTTAGAGTGAAGTACACAAAAGAACCCAGCATTCACATTTAAAAATATGCATTTCATTATTGTTATGAATCGTAACATTTACCAGACGTTCAGGCAAATGATATCTCATCCCCTACCTGGGTATGTGTGAAAATTCAAAGGTCCTTCTACACAGTAAATATAACTTTAATACACGCGCACATACCCCAACTAGAAGGGATATTAAAACCACGTAAGTTAACAGAAATACAGAATTAATTCCATGACCCTCATCTCCAAGGAGACTGAAGTCACTGGCTGGAATAGCACTGATCATTTAGGTTCTGAAACAATTAATATTAAGAAGTTATCAAGAACTATTCCTGAGGAGAAAGGACAAAGTCACTCAAGCCCATTAGCTTGGAATGAAAAAGTTTTTTCCACACAGCTCTGAGACACTAAACCAGAGCAAAATCTGAATTTTGACACGTAAAATCTGAATTTCAACACGTAGATGTTAGCACATATCACTCATGCATATGTTTTGTCCCACTCTATCAGTTCTTTTAATTTATCAAGCCCTGGAAGCGAGGGGGGAGAGAAGTACTTTAAATGCCTGAAGTATTACTAACAATACAAATTACCTGGTTAGCTCACTGAAATTACTCTATAGCAATGCAAACATTTGTGCAAAGGAGCAGATTAGATAACTTGACAAGAGTTACAGCAGAAAACCCAATATACCTCTGCTTTGCTCTTCTCAGCAGCAGCTTGCAGAGGAGAGGATGTCAAAGGTTGAGCAGTATCAGAAGAGGATATCTGTACAAAATAGAGGAAAGAAATGAGAAGGAAAATAAGCAAGAATAGGTGGGAAATGGGTGGATGGGGAACAGAGGCAGCTAAGACATGATTTTCATTCTTTTTTAATAGTTTTGAGAGTACAGAAAAAAAACATACAACACAGAAAAAGCAAAAGTAAGAAACAAAGTATTTCCACTTAACTTCATAAATTTTCTCAGTACAATTTCTAAAGGAGATCTGTCAAGTAGGAATGAGTGACTCCTAATGAGGTTCACTAGAACAGCATGTAAGCAAATGAACCTGGATATGATCGTATCACAGGCCTACAAGAAATAATTAGGTTTCATCCATTTTTCAATTTTTTCCAACGTGACTCCTGAAATATTAATGTCCTGAAGCATGAAGGCATACTGTCCCCAGAGGAGGGGGGGAGAAAGAGTGCCTTTGTTCTTGTTCACTGCCTCAGTAATTTTATTAAAAACAACGCAAAATAACTCTGGAAGTTATTCAGTAATTAAAGTTGTAATTAACTGTCCTCTAAGAGCACTCCAGAGGAGTAAACAGCTTAATGCAAAGCAGCATCCTAGAGGTAGGATGCCAGACCTGCCAGTTGATGCTTCTTTCCTAGGACCCAGTACATAAATTTGCTATAAGCACTGCTAGACTTGCAGAGTGGTCCAAAAGGTTTAAGTTTGATATGCAGCCGATGCAGTTTGCTCAAGAAAATGGGATTTCTCTAAATGCATTTCCATATATCTTCCTATTCTGTTTCTTTATGCATAGTTGATCACTTTAATGGAAACATTATCTTTCCGTTACACTTACTACAAAAATGCAACTGAATTACCTTTACCAAACAGGTAGTAGATCCTGAGAGCTATAAAGGCGACACTTCTGCTATGTCTTGGATCATCTCTACTATCTACAGGGAAAACTTAGAAGTAAATGAAGCTATTGCAGAGCAGGCCATTATGCTGGATCAAAACAACCAATTTAGATGACAGTTTTTTTTTTTCCTGTAGCTTTCAGTTTCCTTTTAGTGCCTTTTTTGTTGTTGTTAAATAAAAGTATCTTATATCTACATACTTCATATTTGCTACGAACAATCCTGCCAGTGCCATAGCCCATATATCTGGATATTCATAGAGTATATATAAACATTTTTTTCACAAACTCAAACTATACTTAACCTAGAAGGTGGTGTATTTTCAGCAAAGCTTTTTAAAGCTTTCAGTTTTAAACCAGATTTAACCTACAGAGACATGGAACAGAGTCCTCTGTTTTGAATTTACTGTTTTAAAATCCTCAGGTTATCAAAAGAGTTAGGGATACATCTGCTGCAAGAAAGCAGTCCTACACCGTAGCATTCAGTTGCTATAGGAACACTGGGATCCTGGTTATTCCAATTACACCACGCTGCAGCCAAATAAAGGTGTCAGAAAAATAGGTAGGTACATACACTAAACAATGAGCTCTAATAAAGCGCTCTTCATCAACATTTCACTTAAATGCAAGTGTGTGAAATTGTGATACCATCTTACGTATGGTTTCTATAGATAACATACAATTTTTGCTTTCAAAAAATTGTTTGGAATTCTTCAGATTTTAGAGAATTTGACAGCTGCTCTCACAGGTGAACAGCAGGTAGCAGCTACTCACCCCACAGAACCAGATGAGCAGAAGTACATTTGGGTGTTGGGGGATATCAGCACTATAGATGCTTGTGTCACATTTCTGTTTCTATAATAGCTCTTCTCAATCTGTATTTCATCTTCAAAAATTAAGGGATCATCTAACCTGGGATGCGATAATCCTACAAAGGCCTGAAATTATTGTACCTTCACCAATCAAGTAATGGAGAAGTGGCATGCAAGTTGTGAGCAGCTAGACAGAGACGAGCAGTGGCAGTCTGTCCTGTGATAGGATCAGGACGTACAAGCTGAGAAATGCCCAGAGGAAGCATTTATAGACACACAGCTCTGCATTCACTTCAGGCTAAACACCAGCTCTTCAAAGCACACTTGACATACGCGAACACTTGACTGAGCAGGAATACAAAAGGTGTACGACTGAATATAATCTTTAAAAGAAAACACTTTACAATGTATAGAACTGATTAAATTTATATAGTGGAAATAATGGTGTGAGTTCAGGCTGCCAAACAGTTTCTATCATCACTGCATCATGTTACATTTGTTATCTACCATGCTGCACCAGATAAGGAAATCTGAATTAAAAAAACATCAAGTCTGACTGGGTGGCTGGATAAAGCCAAACATGAAACAGGATTAAAAGACAGACGGATGCAGTCCGCTGTAGAGTTGTCAGGGTACAAGAGACGTCTGGAGAATTACTTGCCACTGGTACAAATGGATGCTTGAGGGACCAGCAGCATCCCGTTACCATTCCCAGCTCGCTCTGAACAAGCCTCTCCTGAGCTAAAAGCAGCCCAGCGTGGCACTGACTGCAGAGGACCCTTAAGGAGAGCTGGAGCAAAGCAGCCAGTGTCAGCCCCAGCAGTGCCAGCTATTTTGCCCCTAGCTGATGCTCAGGTGTTTCCCTGTGTCACGTACATATACCAGAAGGAGCACCAAACACAGCTAAGAACTGTAATAATGCTGCTGTGTAAGGGTGTTTTGTTATATTGGGATTCTGAATTTTGACTAGTATCAAAGTCATTATAAAAGCTGATCTACTCTTCCAACCCAGATGATTCTGTGATACTGTCTTCAAGCATAAAGAGACAAGACTCAATCATCGAGAACTTGTTTACCAGTTTGCAAAAATTTTAAGTCAAACTCAGCCACATGTACTATTTTTGCAAATCACTGAAGTTGCCTGATGCTCTGAGATCTCAATAAAACCTTGTACTGTCCCCAGACTATTACTTTGCAGGGTTGTGGTGTGCTCCTATTCTCAAACCGCAGCACACTCCACAGATGTGCATGTTATAATGTACAGCAAAAACCTCATCAAATAATCCTTCTCGTTCGCATAAATCACCCACAAACGACTTCAACACTATTCCGATGATTTTATTGCAAAAATGCATGTTTGAGCACTCTCAAAATTAGCATTAAGAGCTTCTAGACCCTGCCTGCACTGCTGGCACACCACTAGTGATGGTCATAAAGTCACTGAACAACTGTAATGCTGACGAGGAACAGCGGCTGACAAGTTGTGTGTTGCTGCCTTACGGTTCCAGCAAATCTTTGTTTTTAAAACCACTACAGCGCTAAAGCAGCTCATGAAACTGTCCCAGTTTGTTGGCAAGCTAACGAAGCTCATTTGACTAACAAATGGCAACTGAAAAAGCATCTGCTCGGTGACCTACTTCCACGGTTGTGCTGATACCACTGGCTGGCCGGCAGCGTGAGTGCTGAGGTTCAGAGCAGCTCCTGCATCAAACCTGTCGCTCACCCAGCTCCGCAGTGCTGCAGGCTGTGCTGCTCACACTGCCCCTAATTAGTGGAAAGCCCCAAACGCACCTTGAATATTTATAGCTGATCGCCGCGCAGGAGGCCAACCACGGTTTTTAATAATAATTTTAAAACCTTTTTAGTAGACTGAGATCATTGGAAAGCAGCACTACGTGATCCCATCTCATAGTAATACGTGGTTTCTGTTTGGCATTTACCAGCCTTTCTTAATAATGTTCTGTGGGGGTGATCAGAAACATCACTAGGGAAGATCAGCTCTCCAACTGAGAGCAAGTTCCAGTCCCTAAAATACTGTTGTTTACAAGCAGACATCCCCCTCTGTAGAGTGCCAAAAAAAACATGGTTTGCAAAACCACCATTCCACAGCAATAATCCTGTTACCACTTCCCTGATTTGTCAGTTTTAATTCACTTCTAACACTCCATTGGAAGCAAAAAGAAAGTTTCTAGAAAAACAGGCCAGTGCTGATACCAATTATGAAGTCTGAAGGGCAGACAGCAGGAAAATGGAAAATATCTTTGTATTTAATTCAGATGCAACAGAAAGGCATTTGAGAAAGTAGGTGGTAGGAGTGAGATTTGTCACCAAAGCCATTAAAGATAAATGACCGAAGCCTTTTGGCCACAAGTATAAAACAAAAAATTCATCTGAATTTCTATATCAAAACCCAAAAAGCTGTTTCTAGCCATCTTCCTGAATCCAAGTAAAGCAGCACACGCTGATCCACTCCAACAGCATATGCTAGCATTCTGCTCTGGAAAGCTGTCAGCAACAGTTGATTGTTGGCACTTGAAACCACCAGACAAAACCAGTGGCAACCCCTACAACCAACCGTACATGCTGTTGGGAAGAGGATAAAACTGACATGCCTATATGCATTAAAAATGCATTACAAACTGACAACTAGCATCTGAATATTTCATTTTAGTTTTTAACCTAAGAATAGTGGGGCCTTGTGATTGAGAAGTGAATTCAGAAGTGCCTAAAAGAGACAGTGAAGTATGGAGCTCTTTATTAAGGCTCTGCATTTATATTCTTAAGATCATAAAATTTTAATTGAGTTTGAGACTTAAAGACTTGCAACCATTTCATTTTAGCAATTCTTGAATCTCTTTCCAGTGTTTGTTTTGGGAGTACTTTTAAGAAAGCTGGTATTGGCCAAAACAACCGTTTTGTGCAATGAAACTCATCAGTGTCTTTTAAAACATCAAGAATATTCAGTGCAGAACAAGAAAATACGTACACGTGTAATGGTACCATAAGACTTCATTTCCAACTATGCTCTCTAAGAGGCTCTTTGGTTCAGAAAAAAAGAACAGAAAAGCATGGACCTACAAGTTTAAAATATTAATCCAGTTCCTTGTCCTTCTTACACAGAAAGGGGTTACCAGTTTCCTATTTTCTCCATTAAAAGCGTCTATAGGATTTCTTAGTAGCACTATCCGAACACACACCGTGGTAGTAGTTCAATGGGAAGGCACCAATACAAGCAGTGTTTGGCCCTACGGCTTTGCTGCAGTCTACACACCAGAAACTATTTCAAGTGAAAAGTAAGGTTAAAAGAAATGAAGCTATCAG